GCAGGCGCCCTGCCCGCAAGTTCCGGGTCCCCAGCCCAGGACGGGCGTGACCGAGTCGCCAGGTCAGTTGGTCTCCCTGGAGTGCCCAAGCCGAATCCACGGGGCCCAGCTGCCTCGCTTCTTGTTCCTTCTGCGAGCTGGTATTGAGCGCCTGCCACGAGCCAGGCCTTCCCTGGTGAAGATCACGGAATGCCCACCCAAGGAAGTGGGGCCTGGAGGCCTCCGGGAGAGCCCGAGAGGTGGCCCAGGGAGAACAGAGTGTTCTGGTGGTCTTGCCTCTCCTAGGGCGTGACAGCCCACTCCCTGCACACTGCCCTGAGGGAAGCGCCAGCACTGCCAGAGCTCCCTTCTCACCTCCTGCAGGAAGCCCTCCCTGACCTCCTGCCAGGCTGGGGCAGGGTTTCCCTGAGCGTCCCCCAACCATGATAGCTCAGGTCACCTCGAGAGACTCCGTTTTTAGACAGAAGCCCTGGGGCAGAGCTGCCTTTGAGAGAGAGTTGAGGCCTGACAGGTTTCTACCAGCCCCGTTAAAGATGGGCTGCTGAGCTGGGGGAGAGGGGCGGTGACTCCCCCAGGATCACAGCTAAAAAGTGGCCCCTTAAAAGACAGACTCAGGTCTGCACTCTGACCTGGAAGCAGCTCCTGGTAGGTGACAGGTGACACTCCTTAAATGGTGCACGTCACTGGCCTTTCAGCTGGGAGCCAGCCATGTACCCCTTGCCACCGGCCAACCCTGGCCCCTGGGGACTCCCATGCTGCCAAGTCACTCCTGTCACTCACCCTGACAGGCCTAGACTCCCGAGGCTTCCTCTTTGGCCCCTCCCTGGCCCAGGAGCTTGGACTGGGCTGTGTGCTCATCCGAAAGCGGGGGAAGCTGCCAGGCCCCACTGTGTGGGCCTCCTATGCCCTGGAGTACGGGAAGGTAAGGGGGCTGGGGTGGCCAGAGGAAGGGAAGGGCTAGGCCACCGTGGCCACTCTCCGCCAGTTCTAAAGGCCCTCCCAGGTGTGTCAAGTGGAGCTGCTGTGGTTACAGTGCTCTTGGGAGCTCAGAGAGGGTGAGACACAGGCTGGGCTCACACAGCCAGGGAACAGCAAGGTGGGGTTGGCGTCAGGGCCTAGGGTGGCAGCTGCCAAGCTCTGCACACAAAGCTGTTTCCTGCGGGAGGCTGAGGACGACACACCACTTCCCACTCCAGGCTGAGCTGGAGATCCAGAAAGATGCCCTGGAGCCAGGACAGAGGGTGGTCGTCGTGGATGATCTGCTGGCCACTGGTGGTGAGGGTCTCCCCACAGCCAACTGCTGTGGCTCCAAGGGCCTGGTGGGAGTAGGGCAGGACCTCGCTGTGCGTGGCGTGGGATGCAGCTTACTATTGTCCAGCTTATTGCCTGGTGGCCAGGCCGACACCTTCCTCTCTCCCCATACCCTCCCCTCCCCAACCCAGTCTGGAGCACCCAGTCTCTACAGCCCAGGCCAACTGGGGACCTCACCCTCCCATCCCCAGGAACCATGCATGCCGCCTGTGAGCTCCTGGGCCGCCTGCAGGCCGAGGTCCTAGAGTGTGTGAGCCTGGTGGAGCTGACCTCGCTTAAGGGCAGGGAGAAGCTGGCTCCTGTACCCTTCTTCTCTCTCCTGCAGTATGAGTGACTACAGGGCCTCCCAGCCCAACATTCTGCAGCTGGAACCCAGGGACATTTCAGCCCTGGGCAACTGCAGTGACCTCTGCAGTTACCAGGGGCACCAGCTGCCCGCAGGGAACACATCCCTTGCTTGGGTTCAGCACCTCTCCTGGGGCTGGAAGTGCCAAAGCCTGGGGCAAAGCTGTGCTTCAGCCACCCTGGGCCCAATTACACATAGGGAGAACGCAGTAAACAGCTTTGCCATGAGAGCCGTCTCCTGTCATCTTGTTCCCCAGGGCAGGGAGCCCCAGGACACCACCAAACCAACTGGACTATGGGCACGTGCTGCTCGGCATGATGCCCAGCGGTCTGGCCTGGTTCTCACCTCAGGAGCCGGAACCATCCAGGCACTGCAGAGAGAGGCCGTGTGGGCCCACCTTCTAGGGAAGCACGTGAGGGCTCAGGGGTAACTAAGTCTGTCAATGCAGGTCCCACCCTGAGGCGGCCAATGCTACTGAAAGGGTTCTACTGCAGGTCTAGTGGCTGTAAGCACGACTTTATTATAGTACTGAAGTCAGTGTGTGGGCAGGCCAGTCCCTTCTGGAGGCTCCAGGGATGTCCTGTCAGCTTCTCCAGGCTGCCTATGTCGGGGCAGGGCCGCGTCTTCAAAGTTGGCTGGCTCTGGCCCTCTTGTGAAGGCCCCTGCGGCAATCTTGAAGTTCTTAATGACAAAAGTCACCCTTTGCTGTGGAACGTCCCATATTCAGAGGTTCCAAGATTAGAGGGGATGGCCTCCTGCCACCCACACTACCCAACCCCATGTTGCCAAAGCCCCCTTCACCCTCAGCCACATTCCCCTGCCCTGATGGCCCCCTAGGGGGTGCTGGGATCTGGCTTCCCTTTCCCACCAGCAGCAAGGACAGAGGTGCCCACAGAAACCGGTTTAATGTGAATCCACCAGGTGAGCCCCATGCAGGGGCCACCACCTGCAGCCAAAGACCCTCGGGCTGTGCAGCCTGCAGCCCAGCTCTGCCTCTGGCCCTCAGGGGCACTCCGGAAAGGAAAAGTAAAGTGCATCATGTTCATAAAAGAAAACGCTAGTGGCCCCAGGCCAGTGAGCCTGAAGCCCCCATCTGTCCAGTGGCCCCCAGGCTCACAGCCCCTCTTCAGCGCGGGCCTGGCGGGCCAGGCGTGCAGTGATACTGGCCAGGTCCGCGGCCTTGTCCAGCTTGACGTAGGTGTCGTTGCGAATGTGGTGAAGGCTGAGCCAGTCTGGCAGGAGCTCGGAGAGGAGCAGCAGGTGTTTCTCCATCTCCCCTGTGGGAGGAGAAGGGGACACAGGCTGGTGCTGGGCCCCAGCCCCACACAGGCAGCACTTGAGACCAGCCTGACCACCCAACCTCTGTGCCCGCCTGGTCGCCCTCAGTGCCCCATCCCCGGGCCTTAAGGCAGAGGTGGTTCTGATCAGAGGCCCGAATCTGGGAGGCATAACAGTGAGTGGAGAGAGCCAGGCCTCCAGTTGAGGCCATGTGAGGAGGCACCAAGCATGGTGGCCACCAGCCCATGAAAACCCTGAGGCAGGGGGTGCCCTGTAGTGTGGGGACCCCCACGTACTCAGGGTGTGGTGACCAGAGGCCTGGGAGGCCGTGTAGGGTGCATGTGGGGCCCCTTCTGACCAAGCACTGCAGGCAGTCAGGGAAACGGGCCAGGGCTGTGAGAGGGAAGCTGCCTCCAGAGGCTGCAGGTGTGGAAGGGCTGGGTGGAGGCTCAGGGGTGGCTGAAAGGAGGGCAAAGCACCCAGCACACACCAGTGCAAGCGGCCAGTGCCCACCGCACATCTGAACGGAACAAATCAGTGATAGACACCCCTGGTCAGAAACCTGGGGAGGCGGCTGCAGCACTGGGCAATTCCACTGTGCACGCCCCCTCACCCCGCCGTGCACGTACCGGGGCTCATGGCAGTGCGACAGCTGCCCACCATCCTGGCACAGGCCACCTCCATGCTGAGCGCAGGCTTGCGTTCGGACACAAAGACGCTCCGCAGCACGCGGGCCAGCTCAGGCAGCCGTTCTAGGCGCTGCAGCCGCTGCTCTTGCTCCGGGCACCGTGTCATCTGTGCCAGCTGCTTCTGTGCCTCCTTGGCTCGGACCTGCAGCAGGTGTGGGGACCTGGTTAGTGGGCAGCAGATCACCAGGCCCCCACCCGCCATCACTGGGGACGACTCACCCGCTCCAGCAGATCCTGGGACACCCCCTTCAGAGCGCTGGGAGAGGCTGCAGGCGGGGTGGCTGGTGGGGTATCCGGCAGTGCTGGCCTGGGGGGCCCGGGGCTGCTGGGCTCAGCAGAGCGCAGGGCCAATTGACTCAAGGCCTTCTCCATCTGCGGGAGAGACAAGTTGGGGCGGAGAGGTCACAGGAGGCAACATGCCCCTGGCTCTCTGCCCAGGAGTCCCCGGTATCTGTCAAGGCACAAGTTAGCCCGGCACACTGGGTGGTCTGTGCTGGTCAATGCAGTGTCCCAGTGTGTGGCATCGCCTGCCCGGGGCCAACTCCCCACATGGGGCAAGTGACAGAGCCAGGCTTAGAGGTTGCAGCTGGGGACAGAGGGCAAATGCCGCCCACTCTCTGGACCTCCCAGCCAAGGAGGAAGCCAGATGAGGCATCAAGCTCATCGCCAAGGCCCCACCTCTTAGGCCCGGGGTCAGGCTGGCCCACCCACCCGGGAGAAAGGGGCTGCCCAAGCCTCGCAGCCTCACCCTGGGTGACATCAGGCTGCGGGCCCGGGCCAGCACCTCCTGAGCAGTGGTGAGTTTCTCCGTGGCGGGTGGCTGGGGCAGCACAGCTGGCTCGATGTCGGGCACTTCATCCACGTTGAAGCGTGGGTGCCAGCGGGTCAGCTGGTCCTCCGGCACCACCATGGGGGGCCTCAGGGAGGCCAGGAAGGCCTGGGGAGAAGGAGCAGATGGGTGACACTGGGCACATCTGAAACAAGGGCAGGCTGCATGTGAGGTAGGGCTGTCTATGCTTACGTCCCCATCCCAGCCGGGCCACCTTGGGCAAGTCACTTAGCCTCTGCCCAGTGTTCAGCTTGGAGGGAGAGCACACGGCCTCCCACGGCCCGTACTCGCTGAATGCCTTGGGGACCTCCTCAGTGCCTGCAGCTGCACCCTGAGCACACCAGCCCTCAGCTCAGGGTGAACCCAGCCCGGTTCCATCCCGGGAGAAGCCGTGGGTAGCAGGGATGCTGCAAGCACAGGGTTATGTGCTGAGGCAGTGCTGGTGCCACCATCTTTGCACAGCAGGGCCGGGGGCCGCTCACCTTGTGGTGCTCCTTGACGTGCTCCACCAGCTTCTGGCTGAAGATCTGCCGTCGCTGCAGGAGGCGCGAGGCCGTGAGCTGAGGGGCTGTTCCGTCAGCCTCTGTGGGACGAGTCCAGGCCTGAGTCCAGGCCAGGCCGCCCAGCACCTCACACCCACCCCAGAAAGTGTGTGGGTCACAGATGGGGAAACCGAGGTCTTGCACCCAGCACCTACCCTGCTCCAGCAGTGGCTCGATGGTGAGCTGGTAATCTGACCTCTTAACACCATCCTTGAAGGTGGGGACACCGCGCTCCTGGCGGAAGCAGTAGGAGGCCGGGTACACGGTTTTGATCTGGCCAACATTACGCTCCTCAAAACGCCTACAGGAGGAGGGGGCCGGCTCAGGAGGCGGCAGGCCCGGGCCCACCCCCAACTCCAGGGCAGCCCCAGCCCACCCGCGGCCACTCACCTGCGCATCATGTCCTGCACGCCCCGCTGGACCTTGGTAAAGGTGGGCGTCTCAGAGCGGTTGTGGAGCATGCCCACAATGGTGTCCATGCTGCGGAACATCTCCGCCAGCACCTGGTACTTGTAGGGCAGCACGAGCCCCGGTGGGCCAGGCTGGGCCAGGGCATGGAAGCGCTGGTAGGCGGGCGCCTTCTCGCCACTGTCAGGGAGGGAGGAGCCTTGTGAGAAGCAGCAGGCCCCCACCCCTCCAGTGCCACAGCAGGCCCCTCGACCAGGGAGCCTCCAATGGGGCCTGCCACGCCACACACGATGGCTTTCGCGGACCTTGCACAGTCACCAGCACTGGCACCGTTAGGGGTAGAACTGGTGATAGGAAAGCCCAGCTCCACACCCCAGCTCTGCTGTGTCCATGCGGCACCCCCAGGGAAGCTCTGCCCTCTCCCCAGCCCAGTTTCGCCAGCTCTCAGGGGCAGGGGCAGGCAACACACCAAAGCATTAGGAGCATTTGGAACCTGCCAGAGCGCCGGAGGCAGGAGCTGCCCCCAACAGGAGGGCAAAGGGCCAGCGGTGCTCAGGACCTTTTTCTCAGGGGTCTGGCTCCACGCCCTGGTGACCTCACCACCTCCCTCCTCGGAAGGAGCAGACCTGGGCCTTTGCCAGGATCGCCCGGCCATGCCTCCCACCAGCCAGCCTTTCCCAAGGCCTCCTGGCCACCCACCCAGCACTCACCATGGCTCCTCAGGGCGGCCCTTGGCCTCTGGGGTAAAGGACTCCCCAGCATCCTGGGCACTGGACTTCAGCACTCGGACTCTTGCCCCCAGCTCCCGGGCCCGTTGGAGGCATGACGCAAGCTCAGAGATGGTGTCCTTCAAGGGGATCAGGGGACGTGGTGCCGTCAGGCAGTCAGGCCGGCACCACTCAGCCCTCCCGAATCTGCCCCAGGCCCCGCCCCTCACCTGGTTCTGCGAGGACGTCAGCTGGGGTGGCTGACCTGCTGCCGGGGTGGATTTCTTTATCTTCTGGCCCAGAGAAGGGCAGGCTGGGATGTCTGGGGCCTCGAGGGAGTCAGGGGCCTCGGAGGAGTCAGGGGCCTCGGGGGAACTGGGGCTGGAAACCTGGTGAGAGGGACCCCAAGGGTGAACCCATGACAAGACCTGGTGCTCCTGGGTCTGCAGAAGACCCTGAAGGATCAGAAGCCCCTCT